TTGCAATACATGGTGGCGACATGGTTTTGTGACGTGACGTCGTCACGGTTACATTGTTATAATTGCTCGCACTAATCATATGCGAACTTCTATTACAACTTACTTGGTTTGACCAATCCGATGCACTCTCCCGATAGCTTGTAGCTGATTGGCTGGGTTGAGGATTGGCTCGACCAATAGGACGTGTGTTGCTTCTATCAGGTTGAGACCTTTAGCTCCGGAGTTAACAGGCAGCAAGAGGGCGCTAATGTCAGGGTCGTGTTTGAATGCTGAGAGGTTGTCCTGGCAACAGACAAACACATGCTGGTAGCAGGGATCTAAATAAAACATTGTAGGGTAAGGCAAGTGGTGCCTTGGGTTAAAGTTTTAGACAGCGCGGTAATTCATAAGAGCATAAATGATTCCTTCTATGATGTGGCAACGGGGAAAATTACTTAAAATCAACTCTCACTAACAAATTACCTTTATGTAAAACATAGATGAATAAATACACGGGGAATTTATGGGAAGGACCTGGAAGCAACCCCTCCCCCGCCCCGCCCCGGTTCATTGGTTCAGCGGTTGCCCTCCTTCCAGTGGTCACCTTTATAAAATAGGACGATATTTACGGCAGTGAACGGCGTCACTGTCACTAGCTACACTACAAGAGTTGACAATGTAGTAAGCTATACACAGCACTCAGTATTCTTCCATGGCAGGGGACAGCTTGTAGTGTAGCTAGTGACAGTGAGTAGACTATAGTAAGCTAGCTATACACAGCACTCAGTATTCTTCCATGGCAGGGGACACAGACGTGAGAAACTCCTTCTATATGAAGGGAAGCTTTACTAACCTGGAACTTGTTGTTAGCGTGCAGCATCCTGTGTGTGATGTTATTCTCCTTCAATGCTTGTCCAACTATGTTCAACACGTCCTGCCACTGAAACACATGCGACATCGTCAAGCCCACGGTGACAGCCGCACACAGGCCTGACACAGCCATGTAACAGTGACATCGTTACTCAGCATGTAACACGAGACTGTGGCTTGCTGATGGTAACAGGACGTGACACAAGAGCATCTACTACAGTAAAACTCGCATAAGTCGTCATCGTCTAACTCGTCAATTCGCATAAGGC